GCAGGAGAGAGGACAGGAAGTGACGGGGAGGGCAGGAAAGAGGACAGGAAGTGACGGGGAGGGCAGGAGAGAGGACAGGAAGAGACGGGGAGGGCAGGAAAGAGGACAGGAAGTGACGGGGAGGGCAGGAGAGAGGACAGGAAGAGAAGGGGAGGGCAGGAGAGAGGACAGGAAGTGATGGGAAGGGCAGGAGAGAGGACAGGAAGTGACGGGAAGGGCAGGAGAGAGGACAGGAAGTGATGGGGAGGGCAGGAGAGAGGACAGGAAGTGACGGGGAGTGGTGGGCGGGGATTCACAGTGAGCTGAACTCAGCTTCTCAGTCCGACTGGAGCAGAGCTAGCCTCCAGGAAGCAGCTAATGCTAACGTGAAGGACCGCAGTTTGGTAAGTTTAAAGACTTTATCTTACAAACATGCATGTTTCATTATTATAGTCGGATTATGCCTCTATATATTCATATTACTTGATCTGGAAAAGACTTGTTTGTAGTTTAACAGGTTAGAAAGTTCAGTAACTGTCTATCATTGGATCACATTGTAACAACCACCTTCTCTGAACAGAACAGGACTGCAGTGTGTCGATGTTGGACTTAAAAAAAGATGTAAACCAGCCAGAAGGTCTTCAGGTAAAACTACTGCATTATGTAATGTGTAGATGGTTTAAATATAAGCACTACCTACACAACAAAAGTAGGATTTTAACAGGCAAATGTAGTTTGTTTATTCTGAAGATATGCTTCAGACAAAGTAAAGCTTCTCACTTATTCAGTCTAGTGAGACAAAATAGTAACTGTTCAGATTCAAAACATTTGTAAATGACTAGTTTTTTTTCTTTGCAGGCAGTTGTTCTATCGAAGATTTTATCTAATCTGGACATACAGTAAACCTGCACCAGCCTGTACACACACCATTGATCACATGTGGATATTTGTCAGAACCAAGCTGGGTAATTAAAGGGATCCCCAATTAGTTGTAACATTAGACTTTATATGATAAACATATACAGTATTTTAACTGTAAAATAAAGACTGTAAAAATACTGCAGGATGTTCAGTTTTTATAATTTTTAAACTAAACATTTAAAAATGTATTACATGGACGGGGCCATTTTATTTACACGCAAAGCATTCTGGGTAAATGATATCAACTAGGTCATCGGCATGAGGCTGCTAGCGAGCTATACCCACCCTGAAGGTTAATCTTGGACAATATCTGATGATCGACTCTTTTAAATGAAACCAGAGAGCGTTGAHAGAGAGGAGAAGGTAGAAATGACTCCGCCTGGAACTCAAAATATGGATGGAGGACCTCAGTTTAACTTGTTAGTTTTAGCATTAGCCCTGACGCTATCACCATATATATGTATTAGCTCAGCGCTAGCTCGCTAGCAGCCTCACACCAATGACCTAGTTGATGTAATTTACCCAGAATGCTTTGCGTGTAAATAAAATGGCTCCATCCATGTTAAAATATAACTAAAAAAATTACAAAACTAAACATCCAACAGTATTTTTACAGTCTTTATTTTACCGTTAAATGTTTATCAAATAAAGTTTAATGTTACAACTAATCATGGATCCCTTTAAGCAGACAAGTAACTTATTTTAGAATGCGTGGGCGTGTCCCTCGAGGATTGACTGACAGCTGTCAACACGTCGAGGAAGAAGTCCGAGAGCAAGGTTCAGAAATTTTTTTTGTCAGAATGAGTTCAAAAATGTAAAAAAGAACTAGCATAGAGCAAAACGAAGCTGGCAGAAATTCAGAAAAGATGATCCACAAAAAAAAAAAAAAAAATTCTCACGCTCCACCTGAGAGGAGAGGATGAGGTGTATGGTGGCAAAATAATGCCAGAACTCTCGCGAGAAAAAACGAGATTTCGCGCGCGCAAATTAAAATCCTGTGCGCGCCTTTTCATATCCGCGCGAGAGTGGATTGAGCTCCGCGAGCGGACATCTGCACTCGTGCGCACTTTGTCTCCTCTCGTGCACAGAATCTCTGCCCGCATGCGCGCACACACCATTATCCTCGCGCGAGCCTTTTTTTCCCATTCCCCCCTCACGCGAGCTTCGTCCGCTGCTCGCTCGCCAGTTACTTTTGGCAGAAGGTAGGCGGATCCAGGTTTGGGTTTCTGTTAATACACATGATTGGTTAAGGTCCCTGTCTTCTGTGATTGGCCGGCTTTAGAAGAAAGGCGGTAGAAGAAGCGTCTGCAGACTTGAGCGTGGTCAAAACAATGGTCAAAGCTAGAAGGCATGGCAGACCATCAAGAGGTGAGTCACGTCTATCTTGAAATGCTTAATTGTCTGTGTGTAACACAACTTWTCATTTTCTTTAGCTCAACATTTACTAAGTAACTTTCCAAACATTGCCTCCATTATCTGTCTGCAGTAGCACTTGGTAATTTGATGGCCCACCTAAGCTAACACTATCTGACTAGTCTGTTTTGTTTATATTTGTGCAGACACAGATGCAAAATGCTGCCATGCGGGTAGTTGCACTAATAAGAAGTGCCCTGGCTGAGAGTGACCCATCTACTCAAAACCGTAAGTGTGCTCTCAGCGTGGTGTAAGATTATTTAGCTGTGTCATTCTATAAATATGCCGTTTTATTTTTTTAATGGCTGCACAGTAATCATAAAAACACCACTGATGTGATTCACTGAAAATTTTGCAAATCATATTACACGTGGAGCTCATAAAAATGGACCTGCTTATGTTTAAAAAATAGGTGAACCTGATTTTAAGTACACTTAAAACGCACCAGTAATTAGTCTGTGTCCTAAGAGTAAAAACTATAATGAAAATAAAGCAAATGTAAGGAGAGGAGATTTAAGAGCACTAACTAATGCCATTCTTTGGTCAGACACAGTAAGCATGTAACAGTACTGTAATGTTACATTAGATTGACATATTGGCAAAATATAAATGTTGGACCAGGGTGAACATCACAATCCAAAATAAAACCATCCTGGATGGTGTTATAATCAAACTTAGGTATTGTTTAGTTTATAATTAAATTTAGGTATTGTTCACTCTTAAGTTCTATAATCAACATTAGTATTGTTTACTTTTGCATGAAGTTTATTCAGCAGTATTTTGTGTTAAGCAGCTGTGTGTTTTTGTGTTTTACACATTTTATTCATTTATTATTGTATAGGCAAACTGTGTGTCCTCTCTGTGAACTGCTGGAGTGGAGCAGGTTCTGACAAGCAGATGATGAGTTGCAGACAGGCTGAAGGGGTCTAGGGGAGTAAAGGGTTGAGTCCAGTTAGAACTGCATTCCTGAGAGAGCATCCTGTGTGTGTGTGGAAGAGGGGAATAAAGACAGGGCTGTTCTCCTCATCAGACAGACAATCTGCCAGCAGAGAGCTGAGTTGCACCGGGTTCTTTGAATCAGGTTGTATGGCTGTCTCATAAATGCACATTTATACTTTTAAACAATGCTGTATCTTATCATAACTGTTTTATTAATAAAGGAGGTTTGAACCTTTAAAAGTACTTTTATGTTATATATTTCACCTCGGTACCAGGTCCACGTGGGAGGATCAAACGAGCTCGGGCGGAGAGAGAGTAAGTTCGGTGTTTGTCCGCAACAATGGGAAGCGAAGTGTCTTCAACTTTAGAATTAAAAGGTTTATGATTTATGGATGGCCTGAAGGAGTTTAAAGCCAGACCAGTCTGTGTGGACATTTTTAAAGAACGGTCTTGTGAAAGAGGCTTAATTGAAATAGTTTAAAAAAAAGGTATATCTTTCTGGTTAGTGATTTAAATGTGCCAGCTGGCATTATTAGTTAATTGATTAAGC